AATACATTGCACTTCACAACACGTCACGACACTTCAATTTAGCTAATGCTTTAAATATAATTATATATTTAATAAAACAATGCATTTAATAGTAATTATCACAATACTAATAATAAAATAATAACCTTTAATAAGCGCAACTTACTAATTAACAAATTTTACAAATGTCCTTAGTTAATGTACTTTTAAATCTTTGTACACCTAGAGGAAAGGGTTCCATGTCTGTTGCAGGCAAATTATTCCCGTCCGTTATTGTTCTATTTGTGAAGGAAAATTTTCCAACAATTTTCTGATCTCTGTAGCCTGAACAGCATTTTGTGCTTGTGATCTCCTCTACTCAAGTAAGATGGTCTATTGAGTCGGATGAAAATATATTTTTAAGCTAGATTACCGGCATACGCTTTGTACAGATCACAACCTTAACCCTCCTGGTTTCTCGAGACTCCCATTGTACTTTCTATTGCTGTGGAAAGTAAGTTTACATGATCTTCTCTGTTCTCTATTCAAATATTCGTTTTGTGAATTTCTATAAGGGTCCCAACAAATCGCCCCTTATTCCATTAATGGACGAATTAGAGATAAGCTAATTCTCACGCTTTCTCAGTACTCTTTTTTTTTAGTATTCACATAGTAAAATGCAAAGACCTCCAGGCATTCCCTACGACAAAGTTTACCTGATTTTCCCAACTCAATTTGCTATCAGAAAATATTCCCAGGTACTTTCAAGACAAGACTCTTGGAATATTTTCGTTACCTAAACGGTATTGAGTTTCACTATATTTGCGGCCCGTACCAAACATGATGGTTTTGCTTTTTAAACTATTTATTATCATGCTTTTTTCTGCCCAGAAATGTAATTTATCTAGATCACCCTGCAAAATATCCTCGTCTAATTTTGATTGAACAACTCGATATATTATACAGTCATCTGCAAATAGTCTTACCCTTGAGAATAAAGTGTCTGGCAGGTCATTCACAGACGCGAGAAACAGGAGAGGTCCAATAACGATTCTTTGAGGGATCATTGAAGTTACCTTTGCCAAAGTAGAAAATTGTTCCCAACTAGGACTTTGTTTCCTATCTCGGAGAAGCTCATCAATCCACGCCACAACTGCGGTGTCAATACCAGAATGAATTAATTAATGCACTAGTTTACAGTGTGGGACAAGATCAATGCCTTCACAATAGCTATTATTACGGCATCCACCCTCCCACTATCATCAACCTCATCTGGTATATCCTGAAACAATGATACTATGTGACTCTCGCAAGAGAAATCATTTCTAAAACCACGCTGTCCCTGAAATACCCATTATTTTTGATCCCATTCTTGTCTAATATAGTTAGTTATCAAATGTTCCATTAGTTTACATACAAATGACGTAAGACTTGCCGCTCTATAATTGGCTAAAACAGTTCTGTCACCTTTCTTAAAATCTGACAACAGTTGCTAGCTTTCAATCTTCGGGCACACTTGAAACATGAAATAATCATGTTAGAGAGGGCATCTCAACTGAGTTTAATTATGTCCGTTGAAATGTCATCTGGACACCGTGATTCCGTTTCTCATAGATTTGATTCGCATTCGCAATGCATTTACGTCTATATTGAACTGATTTGGTACAGCCTCCCTCGATATCTGAGTCTGGTGAGATTTTGTTTTAAAAACGGAACGGTAGTAGGCATCAAATGCGTTTTCTTTTTCCCGATCTATTAGTAACCCATTCTTGGTATCTCTAACGATAGGAATTTCTTCTTTATTTCCTCTTCTTCTGCGAACATATTTGTAAAACCCTGACCAATTATTTTCCTTATTGTCGAGAATATCTCCTGCGCAATTTTCTTTTCTTTTGAAACTTACGGAAATGTATCCTATGATTTTCACTGCGATATCTACTGTTGAAAGCTTTTCTAGTTTTTCTCTTCATATGTCGCCATCAATTTCAGTCGCTTCAATTTTCGCATTATAATATTCTGGATCTGATTTTCTTTGTAAGTATTTGTGCTACATAAACATTTGCAATGCATTTTCTAGACTTGCTCTACAAACGCGGTACAAATTTCCTCTATACCCCCCATCTATTGTTAGAAAAGGATATTACTGCTCTCTCAGGTAGTGGTAAAGTGTTTGCCTCCTTGAATTGCCATATTTTTGTACCGTTAGTAATTCTGTTCTGTGAAATATTTATGTCTAAGTCAATTAACACCGCTTTGTGGTCGCTTATGCAATCAATCTAATAGTGCCTCCTGCCGCATCGGTCTATCTACTACCTGCGCCAATCCCCCTTCTCAGACGAGTTCACTGACTGTTGTACTGTCGCTTCGCTCGCAGCGCCTTTCCAATTTGCGTCGGGAATATTTAAATCACCAGGATAACTATAGGATGTATATCGGCGTTTTCTATATACTCAGAAATGGCTTCCAAAATCACGTTTTTTTCATTTGGTGGCCCATAGCGAGCGATAATTTGGAACACATTCCCATAATTACTAATTTCTATCCCCATTATTTCAGTTTCTTCGCTGACCCAATTTCTCCTTACATCTATTGCATCCTTACCAAAAATATATATCCTCCTTCTCTAGTATTTCTATTTCGTCTAAACCACCTGTAATTGGGACGAAAAACTTTCGATTTAGTTCTCTCTTCTGTGGGCCAAGATTCAGTTCCTATTATTACATCAGGATCACAAGCATCGACTAAATTCCAAAATTCTATTTCTTTATTTTTTACTCTGCGACTGTTCATCTGCAACAGCCTTGTGAGGCTTTTCCTCACCTGAACACCTACGGTGTCCACTTTTTCGTCCGTTTCCTCCCGCATCGTCGTCGCCGCGGTGAACACATCCATGTTGGCGGCACCGTAAATGTTCCCCTCTGCCGCCGTCGCCTCCCTCAGGTTGCCCCACGTCGTCAACGCACTTGCGTCCCCGTCGCCGCCGCTGTTGTCGTGCCCACCGTTGTCGCCGTCATCGTCACCATTGTCACGATCACAGTTGCCGCCATTTCCATAATTTTTGCCGCTAAGTAGCAACGACTCGAGTCTGAAGCAAGACTCGACGACATTGTAATGCAATCGCCCACGCTTCCAGCCACCGCGAGGATTTAGATGAACCTACTGAGAAGTTTACCCCGCCTGTCGTTTTTCTGACTGGGCTGTTTTAGATAAACACATGTCTGTGACATGTCGATTCCCCCTTTCTATCCTTATCGCGCACACACGTGTCCACGCTCTTACTCTCTTACCTTTCTGAGATTCCCGGCCGTACGTTCCTCCGTGAAGCACTCAGTTGGATTTTTTGGGTGATTTGGCATCTACTATTTACTAATATCTACTATTATTTAAAATGATATGCAATGGGTTTTGTGGAATTATCATGGCTGGCGAAGTCGAAATGAGAATACATTTTTGTATCGTGAATATTCATGCCGTTTTCTCTTTTAATTTTGATACAATTGTGGCCGAAAATCGCATTCCACCCACAGTTACTACTATTAATACTATATTTACCCTTACAATAACACTTGTACTCATGGTCATAATCTGTCGCTGCTTTGACCATTTCAGTCCAGAGAATAGGCCTCTTACATACCCGTTGAATCTTCTGACCTTAAACGTGTCTGCGTCCCCTGCCTGCCTGGACACCAGCTGAGAGGAGAGAGCGAGACGACCACGAGTCTGTACCTTCGCTTCCATCATGCAAGGCTGCCTGAGGAATCGCCTCCCCTGTACAATGGCTCGTCCCCTTTCAATAACGTCACACTCGATCAACTGCCGCCATTCCGTGTTGTCTCGTTCAAATTTTACAACAGCCTTGTTATTTATCACGCGTTTGAAATGCGTATGCGTGGCTACACGTCAGTTGGCTATGAGGCAGTGGTAATCGAAAAGCCTTTAATTGGCCGTTGCACGTTGGCAGCTACCCACACGATGCCGTATTGCTTACTGCTTTCGTAATTGTGAGAGCTGGCGGTACTGATACACTTCAATGACTCCTGATCATTATAGAAGTCTTACCTGCGTAATGTCATGCCCGTCCAGATCATCGAGAAATCGGCAAAGTCCAACTTGGGCAACCTAGCACTAATCAAATTTTACTCTCTCGAGTCTCTTCCACACGTCCGTTCTCGAGCACGTCTTACTGGCCAAGTCTATCTCTCGAATCCCTTTTTCGCCCGAAGACCTTTACCACCTCAACTCACTCATCCTCTTCAGTCATTTCGGAATACCCCCGCCCTTACTCTAATTAGCCAATGATCTTTTAGGAATTTTAATGTTTTGGCCGAGTGTTTCTCATTGGTTGGCTCAATGGATGCATGCACATGTTCCCCAAAACACCCATTGTTATTTTGATCGTCTTAACTTCTTTGTGCGAAGGTGCTACGCCACTGTCACCCAGATGCGTGCTCGCCGCGGGAGATCAGGAGCTCGTCGTTTATATCACACAATCAGGTTCACTCGTCTTCGACGTCCAGAAGCGCGGCCGGACATCGTCTTTGGAAGTGACCGTCTTTGTCATTTTAACGGACCACCCCTGCTTCCGCTCGCCCGCGCCGCACGCCTCTCCTGCACCCTCGTCCAACCCTTTCACAGCGCGCAACTTCCTCTCACAAGTGCACCGCCTTGTTCCTCCCACCGAACTATCTATGTAAAACGTTTCTATTTTCTGTATTACACTCATATGATGTGGCATTAACAAGAAAACGAAATATGTTATTTGTCCCATCATCTGCAACGACATGGTACAAACAGAATCTTGATATCTCAAACCGTTTTCAAGATATATGCTGTGGCCAACTTTAAGTGATCCACCCTGTATATTACTTTTTTCGTCTTTTACACACTGGTTTCATCTTTCATAACTGGTTTAAGTTGTTATAGTAAGATGTTTTTGCAATATTTTAGATTTCGTAGAAAACCAAAAATAGTATATTCACTTTTTTTGCTTATTTAATATTATTGTGACAGTGTCAATAATTGTTAAATACTTTTGTTTATAGGCCTCGTTGAACGTCCAACTGGTGAATGTTTAAGTGAACCTCAGTGTCCTCATCCATGTCGCTGTGCTGATGGCATTGTGGATTGTCAAGAAAAAGCTTTGACAAAGGTGCCTGATCATTTGCCCGAGGGAACAACAGAACTGTATGTCATATTGGTTATTACTCAAATATCGGGCTGTTTCAAAATCGGCTGTGTCCACTTATTCCGGTAACGAAAAAATCAAAAACGTTTTACTCTTAAAATAGTTAAACATCAAGAAATACCGGATTATATTATTGGTAGGTGTTCATACCGTTAGATGTTATATACAGGATGAGTTACGTAACTTACGAACCTCCTGCAGTTTCGAATGGTTGAAGTTATTGCAATGTAGTTTTCACGGATGTGTACAAGGGAACCGAACTAATTGATACTCGTATTCATTTCTAGTTTCATTTGTATTTTACGAGATAATGTTTTTGTTGTGTTTTTTCGAATGGAAGTATACATGTATTTTTAGTCTACTATGGTGAACGTAAAAAAGTCGAAACCAATTATTTATATATATAATCACATAGTGCTCGCCGTGCTAAAGTGCGATCGGCCAAGGGAAGCTTCTGGAAGCATTTGCAGGTACGAATCGTATTTCAAATCTTCACAAAACTGCTTACTTTTTCCTGAACATTGTTTTCCATCCTTCCGCATTTTCAGATTGTTTTCTTACTTAAAGATTGAAGGAACTAAACGATTGAAAATAAGATTTTGTCATGAGTATGTATTGAAATAAAATTGTTACTTCACATTTAATTGGATGGCATACCACAGGGTATTAATGGGATATTGAAATAAAACACAATAAGAACACATAACATTGTATAAGAATATTAAACATTTTCAGCAAATACTTTTAAAGTTAATGAGCATATAATAGACCGTACGGAAGAAAAAGTGAGATAACAATAATTACTAAAATAAAAATATAGCATATAAAGGCAAACACACTACAATACTACCTAGTTTACTTGAGCATATATTCAAAATGTTCACCATCTACAGATGAACACATTTGCAGGCGGTTTTGGAAAGATTTATTAACTGCAAGCAGTTTCCAAGCAGTGGAACTTTCAAAATGTAGAACAAAGAGATCAGCCACGAATGAGGAAAGTAAAATCCCTGTACTGACAATGACATCACTTCATCCACGCATACGTTCTCTATTGCCAAAGATGTAGATGGAAGCCAATCCAGTATGATTTGCATTCTACACCGGACAAATTTCATCCTTGTCACATATTCCTTGATCAAGATCTGGGAGGTAAATATTTTGAAAAATGCATGGCGATTCGTGCATTTGCTCTGAGTCAAATACGGAATGACAACACCTTTTGGGAATGTGTGTTATTTACTGATAAGCGACATTCACTAGCCATGTCAACATGAATTTAAGAAAGACGTATTATAGGGTAATGAAGAATCCACTGCTGGCTCTGGCGTGTAGTTTTTTCTTTGAGTCGTTCTTAAAAACCGCATGTTCAAGAGTCTCCAACGACATCAGAAAATATGAGTAGACGCATTGTAGCTGCATGTTTTGAAGTTTAAAACGAAACACTGTTTGCTGTTAATACATCTTCCCACAAATGCCTTCAAATGTGTTTGTAAATGGTGGACGTTATGCTCAAGTAAACTGGGTAGTATTGTAGTGTGTTTGCCTTTATTTACAATATTCTTGTTGTAGTGATTGTTTTTATTCCACTGGATTTTTCTACCCCTAAGTTATTATATGCTCAATAACATTAAAATTGTTTGCTGAAAATGTGTACCATGTTAATAATTTATTCTTGTGTTTAACCTTCAAATGCCATTAATATCCTATGGTATGACATCCAACTAAATTGTGTTGAAGTAACAATTTTATTTCAATACATATTCATGACAAATCCTTATTTTCAATCCATTTATTATTTTCAATCGGTAAATACAACAATCTCAACCATGCGGTAGGATGGAAAGCAGAGTTCAGGAACAAAATGAACAGTTTTGTGAGGATTTGAAATACGTTTCGTGTGTTCAAATCCGTCCATCAGCTTCCCTTATTCGAGCGCCCGTTAGCAGGGGGAGCGCTGCGTGACCTTCGGTGGTGGACTGCCATTCAAAATATCCGTTAAACAGTTGTCGCAAAAAATCAAAATTACTCACAAAGATGCTTATCTAAGCTATCCCAATGTGTATATCATTGGATTCGTCTTTTTACGCTCGTCATGGTAGACTAAAAATATGTATATAGTTCCATTAAAAAAACAACAAAAATACCTCAATATCTCGTAAAATACAAGTGATAAAATAGAAATGAATACGTGTATCAATTAGCCCCGTTCCCTGGTACGCACCTGTGAAAACGTCATTGCAAGAACTTCAACCAGGAGGCGCTAAAGTTACGTGATTCACTCTATATTCAGAGGCGCACCCAAGATTTGTTCTAAAGGAGGTTACGAGTATAATGTTCTGTCAACTTGATGTTTTGTTATAAAGAATTTTGGTGAATATATAGTGTAGTTTTGTTTGTTGACTTTTTATGCGTATATAAAGTAAATAGTTGACCTAGTAAACGTGTTTCGTAAGTATAGAACACAAGTACAAGCTGTATTTTGGAATGCGTATCGTTGGTTTCTGGGGCGGTGGCTCTGAATCCCCATGAGCCATTCCCTTGAGTGCGCAACTGTTTGTAGATCGGGAAAAGCAATAAAAATATGTGGACATAGCCGATTATTAATCTAACAGTTTTGATGTTTCTATATTCAGCCATGTTCTTTTAATCTAAATGATTTGTTTCATTGCAATGATTCCCGATGAAACAAATTTCAAATAGTACTTTGGTATCTCTCTCATAAAGACTCAGAGAGGGGGTGTCTGTGAGCTCCAGTTAAAAAATTGAATTTCTTGAAAAATGACTCGTACAGTATTTTAAAAAAATATCCAAAGAATTATGATCAAATGTTACTTCTCGGCGCATAGTGCGAACCGGTGTCTGCGCCTGTGAAACGGCGTTGTGCCGTTCCTCCGCGTTTTCGGTTGGACTCTTAAGTGGAAAACATTGCCAACTACACACCAGTGTACTTTAATAGTATCAAGTGTTTAGTGTGCACTATTCATTGAATCTATTAAATCTACTTAAAATGCATTTTTGGTTTAAATTGTAACAACAGTATGCAGTGGCATGTCGATGTACAACGCTGATCACGATCCAATCTTTATGAAAATTAACAAAACTCAGGGAATGCTTGAATTGCTCGAGATATTATTTCTAGGTGTCCTTTAAGCTGGCAAAGCATTTCCCACAAAACATAATCAGAATTTTTAACATTATAACTAAAATTCTGTGCTATTTTTGCTATATTTTTGAGTTTTTCAAATATGCAAAAATATGGATATTGTTTGTTTTAAAGTTATACTGTACATAATTTGTAACTACACTCCAAGGTCAAAATATTTCTGGGAGCTACAACACTGTATACAAACGGATAATAAACACTAAAATAAATCCATAGAACTGTTGCAGTCATTTTCAATGTGTTTTTAAAATAAACGTGATTTAAAGGTGGGAGAATGGTAAAAATTGTTTTTATTTTTTAAAACTACAGACCAGCAATCAAAAATATCTGAAAAACATTCACAACTATTTGTGTTTCGACAGGAACGTTTGAGATTTTTTCGAGCCTGTTCCAGGATTCTAAGACGGTAAACATTTGTTTTGTTATTTTTTCAAAAAAATTTTTGCGTTTGAATTGGGCGCTGAGAAAACAATAAATATTTTTCTGATAGTATACATTATTTCCTTACTTTTCAGTATAAATTATTTCCTTCAATCAGATAAAATAGTTTTAAGTTGACGAAAAAAATGATTTAAAAAACACGTTTTGGCTGTAATGGGATGTGGATGGTAGGACGGCCAACCTAACAAAAATCTTATTTATATGTTCGAGGTATATTGTAACTAATAATGTCATTTGGTTAAGGGGAACTTTTTACCATCTTATCCGGGGTACTCTTCATACACGTTTCCTTCGCGTAGTTGCGAAAAGCTCGTGGCCGAATATGAAATTGCAGAATTTTCCTGGCAGTTGTAACGAATAATTGCACTGTTATAGTAACTTTGCTTTCATGAGTCTAATATTGACAGTGAATTTTAAGATATCGAAGAATATTTGAAATATCTTGCGCAGGCCGAAAGATGGAAATGCAATCCACAGACAGTAAGTGTAGTGTTGAACGTAAAGGTTTTGAAGATTTCCCGTGGAAAATCCGGTAAATACTGAAAGTGGAGAAAGACCGCCTTTATATTCGCCGGACCCGCTCTCTTCACCGAGCAACGTTCTTTTACCAGATTTTCTCCGTACATAGTAATTGAACCCCTTCTGAGTTCATTCGTCCAGCGGGGAGAAGTCGTTTCGAACGTAGGGGCGTTGGATAGCGTTGAGGGAGTAATGGTGGTGGAGCTCGATCCAGATAGAAACTTCAATGACAAAATCACCTTCCTTCTGAAAATACCACTTTTTCCGTTCATGCTACAATTGTTTCCTCCGTTCACTTTTGTTAAAGTATTGATTAGAAACACGTACTGCAGCATCATAACGATCTGTAAGTACATTTATTGGCATTTTCGCCCTGGAAACATCCTTTGTCGAAACCAACCTTGCGCTACTAATTTTATGATAAATTTTTCTATATTAAGTCTCTTTCTTAAGTACCAGGAGTGTTGAGACAGCAGTTCAATCCGAAGGAATATATCTCTGATTTTGTTACAGTGTAGTGTATAATTAAAGACTGGGTTTATTCACAATTCAACTGTTATTGTATTTCGATAAACCTAAGTGAATTAGAGACAATTTTGTTGGTACATTTCATAAAATAATTTAGTTTTTGTATTCTACTATTTGATGTTAATTACTATGTACTTTTTTAAATTTATTTATCGTCGCGTCGACTTCAAGGACATTAGCGATTAAACATATTATTACATTTTACAATTACAATATGAAATTTGGAACCATATAAATTATCATAAACAGTACGAAAATACAGTACAAACAATTCAGTATATACATTCAATACGATACATAGAATACATTCAATTCAAAACGTACTTTCTTTGTGCGTTCTACTGT